AGAAACAGCTGTATGGTGTAGCATCACCAACCAGTCCTAGAAGGACGCAATAGCTGTATGGTGATGCTACACCAACCAGTCCTAGAAGGACGAAACATCTGTATGGTGTAGCATCACCAACCAGTCCTTAAAGGACGAAACAGCTGTATGGTGTAGCATCACCAACCAATCCTAGAAGGGCGAAACAGCTGTATGGTGTAGCATCACCAACCAGTCCTAGAAGGACGAATTAGCTGTATGGTGCAGCATCACCAACCAGTCCTAGAAGGACGAAATATCTGTATGGTGTAGCATCACCAACCAGTCCTAGAAGGACGAAACATCTGTATGGTGTAGCATCACCAACTAGTCCTAGAAGGACGAAACATCTGTATGGTGTAGCATCACCAACCAGTCCTAGAAGGACGCAATAGCTGTATGGTGCAGCATCACCAACCAGTCTACACCAACCAGTCCTAGAAGGACGAAACATCTGTATGGTGTAGCATCACCAACCAGTCCTATAAGGACGAAACATCTGTATGGTGTAGCATCACCAACTAGTCCTAGAAGGACGAAACAGCTGTATGGTGTAGCATCACCAACCAGTCCTAGAAGGACGAAACAGCTGTATGGTGTAGCATCACCAACTAGTCCTAGAAGGACGAAACATCTGTATGGTGTAGCATCACCAACCAGTCCTATAAGGACGAAACATCTGTATGGTGTAGCATCACCAACTAGTCCTAGAAGGACGAAACAGCTGTATGGTGTAGCATCACCAACCAGTCCTAGAAGGACGAAACATCTGTATGGTGTATCATCATCAAACAGTCCTAGAAGGACGAAATAGCTGTATGGTGTAGAATCACCAACTAGTCCTAGAAGGACGAAACAGCTGTATGGTGTAGAATCACCAACTAGTCCTAGAAGGACGAAACAGCTGTATAAACAGTATTATTTGTTATTTGGCTCTACTCTTTCTAATTCTAATTTAAAAAAATTCTCCTATGTGTTTTTGAACAAATGCTTTGTCTCGATAACAAACTTAATCCAGTGGATCTGTACCTCGTTATACACGAATTAAAGCATGTTCATGTCATTGTTCACTTCTAAATAAATCATACACAATTTGTTAAAAACTTACAAAAAGTGCTTGTGAAAAGATTCTGCTATTTTGCTGTTTGTTTTTCAGAAATAAGAACGAACGGTAAACATATACCCATTAGTGCACCTGACCTGGTCATTACTGATTGGAAACCCGGTTTTATTTCAGTAGAAGAGTACGAAGGTAAGTACATTGTACATGCTATTATCCATCATCAAGCTGACATATCATAAAATATTGTTATTGTGTTGATGTACATTAAGTAACACAATGACCTCTCCATTAGTAAACTCTGTGGTGACACACTCTTATCCTCAATGTTGGTACTCAATGTAGTTATTTGTGCAGCATCTTGTTCCACATATTATGCAGCTGACTGTGAATAAAATATCAAACCTTAAAGCCTTAGTTTACCATGTTTTGAATATCTGGACCACGTGTGTTTCTCGTGCTCACGGGGTCATGCTGGTTATGATGAAATGATAAAGAGTATGCTATCTGTGTAGGCAGTACTTACCTGTATATAGGGGCCACGGGGTAAGTATGCACATTATTAGTGCGTAGTATACACATTGTACAGTATATAACCCACAATAAGGTCCGACATTATTACAACACCATACAGTATATAACCCACAACCAGGTCCGACAGTATTACAACACCATACAGTATATAACCCACAATCAGGTCCGACAGTATTACAACACCATACAGTATATAACCCACAACCAGGTCCGACAGTATTACAACACCATACAGTATATAACCCACAATCAGGTCCGACAGTATTACATCACCATACAGTATATAACCCACAACCAGGACAGTATTACAACACCATACAGTATATAACCCACAATCAGGTCCGACAGTATTACAACACCATACAGTATATAACCCACAGCAGGACAGTATTACAACACCATACAGTATATAACCCACAATCAGGTCCGACATTATTACAACACCATACAGTATATAACCCACAATCAGGTCCGACAGTATTACAACACCATACAGTATATAACCCACAATCAGGTCCGACAGTATTACAACACTATACAGTATATAACCCACAACCAGGACAGTATTACATCACCATACAGTATATAACCCACAATAAGGTCCGACAGTATTACAACACCATACAGTATATAACCCACAATCAGGTCCGACAGTATTACAACACCATACAGTATATAACCCACCATCAGGTCCGACATTATTACAACACTATACAGTATATATAACCTACAACCAGGTCCGACAGTATTACAACACCATACAGTATATAACCCACCATCAGGTCCCACAGTATTACATCACCATACAGTATATAACCCATAATCAGATCCGACAGTATTACAACACCATACAGTATATAACCCACAACCAGGTCCGACAGTATTACAACACCATACAGCATATAACCCACAATCAGGTCCGACAGTATTACAACACCATACAGCATATAACCCACAATCAGGTCCGACAGTATTACAACACCATACAGTATATAACCCACAACCAGGACAGTATTACAACACCATACAGTATATAACCCACAACCAGGTCCGACAGTATTACAACACCATACAGTATATAACCCACAACCAGGACAGTATTACAACACCATACAGTATATAACCCACAATCAGGTCCGACAGTATTACAACACCATACAGTATATAACCCACAATCAGGTCCGACATTATTACAACACTATACAGTATATATAACCTACAACCAGGTCCGACAGTATTACAACACCATACAGTATATAACCCACAATCAGGTCCGACAGTATTACAACACCATACAGTATATAACCCACAATCAGGTCCGACATTATTACAACACCATACAGTATATAACCCACAATCAGGTCCGACAGTATTACAACACCATACAGTATATAACCCACAATCAGGTCCGACAGTATTACAACACCATACAGTATATAACCCACAATCAGGTCCGACAGTATTACAACACCATACAGTATATAACCCACCATCAGGTCCGACAGTATTACAACACCATACAGTATATAACCCACAACCAGGACAGTATTACAACACCATACAGTATATAACCCACAATCAGGTCCGACATTATTACAACACCATACAGTATATAACCCACAACCAGGACAGTATTACATCACCATACAGTATATAACCCACAATCAGGTCCGACAGTATTACAACACCATACAGTATATAACCCACAATCAGGTCCGACAGTATTACAACACCATACAGTATATAACCCACAATCAGGTCTGACAGTATTACAACACTATTCAATGTGCGAATTGTTTTAATTAAAACTAATATTTTTCATAAGCACGTTATTATGATGCATTTCACATTAACCACTAAACCAGTATTCTTAGTAATAACATATAAACTACAATGAAGGAAGGTATTTATTGAAGTCTTTCATATATCGTATATTACAACCGTCTCTAGCTTTAGGCCACGCATTGATTGCTTATAAACCTTTTCCTCTACGGTGTATCCCATTTAACAAAGACTAGAAACGACAAAAGCAGGGTGATTATATTTACAGAAAGATCCATCACAAGTATGTTTATGATGCTGTGAATATCATCATCTGTCACTTGTGTATCACAGTGGACGCTGTGAAATAAGGTTGGATAGTATTGATTCAGTGATAATTACTAGTGGTTCGCTCATAAACCTGACCCCTATTCATCGTCAATACTAGGGCTTGGCTTACGTCAGCAAAAGTAAGGCCAGCTGTCGTACTAGTAGCTTGAATAGAATGGGAAATAATAAACGTTATGGTTTCTATACCGATAAACAATGAAGTTAATTACAATTCTAATTTCTCCATCAATCTTAGCATGTCAAAATTCGTGTATAATTGTCAGATATTACGTTGATGAATCGGTAGCTCCTCGCACACATATCCTTATACTTGGTGCTGAAAATTATCACAATAAATTTGATGTATATTCTAATAACAGTGAAAATGTTTCATTTTAAACTTCATTGAAAGTATGTACATTACAATATTTGTAAGTATTTCAAGACTGTCAATATCAGTTGAAATAACCAATATTAAACGTCTTATCTAATACACAAACAAGCAGACAACGGAACCATACCAAGTCAAGGTCTAGACACCCACTAATAGATATAGAAGGAAACTTCATCGTATTTCTAGATAAAAGATCAATTTCACCTGCTCTCTTTATCCAAAGATACCACCACTGACAGAACACACACCTGAGATCAGCTGTCCAGGAAAACCCTGACCACTTCCTGGTGAAACGCACATCAGCTGAAGTAACCTTATAGACTGCCTGTAGGCAAACCATGTACTGTAGCAGACGGGGCGACGTATTTTGTGAAATAAAATATTATTAATGATGATTCATATCGATACAGAACAGATTGAACCCATCCACAAAGACAATGGTATTTAGCGTTGTTTACATAGACCATGTGATGAAGATAAGGCTACAGTCACTGTCAGAGTAATGAGTAAACAAATGCCATACCTGTTGCTGTTCCAGCACTAAATATGCCCTAGGTACACTCCACAGCAACAAACGTGTTCGTCCCGAGACGAGAAAGATAGGCCAGTGTTAAATATAGCAGGGAATGACGCAGGCCATACGTAATGCGAACGGCTCTCACCATAGCTCACGAGACGTAAACACCAGCATAGGGCCGACTCTACTTACAAATAAGTGAATGCCAGTTGTACAGCATTTAACAGAAATAGAGGAGGTCGAGTCTTTCTATCGATTGAGTAAGCACTGTCGTTCTACTGTTATGAAAATCACGAACATACAATCTCAGGGCTTGACCATATGTTGCTCATAAACAATACTGCTAGAATGACAGTTACAATTGATGACATGCAGTTAAAACTCACCTGGTTGGTAAATTTCCTCCATACATCCACGTTAAAACATAGGAAGAATTAGAGTAGTTGGTAAAAAAATATAAAATAAATATCTATGTACAAAATGTGTCTGTTACTGGTCCATGGTTCTGTCTATCTTTACGCTCGAGCCGTGGTTCCCTATACTATAAATACGGGGCTCATCCATATTCATGAGCTCGTAATACACTTCATTATTCATTCGGAAGAGTATATATTGATACGTAAAATCTGTTACCCGGAGGCCCTGTATATACCAACGGATATCAATATCGTAATACACTGGATGTCTCCTGCTCATGGACGTTAAATGATTTACCACGGACTATATTTTACAGTAGAAGCAATAATAAGGTCGAGTGTGGGAATCTGTGTTTCCATTCATTGAAGATCTTCGGAGAAGTTGGCCTTTGACCTGGAGAAAATGTTCGTCTTCACCACACGCTCAGTCTGTTGGGTTTCGCTGTATAATGAGGAGTCGCTAGTGAAACATATGTTGCTCTAACACATTGTCCTCTCTAGTCTGTCTATTTGCGTCATAAATAACAAATACACAGAGTAAATCCATTCGCTCTGTACGAGATGGTATACTGAGGTACCAGTTGATCAATATTGGATAGCAAGACCGAAATGTGAAATTGTTAAGATAATTGTGTCGATCTATGTCGTGTTCGCACTAAATATATACAATACATACACGTGGTCTCATTAGAGAGCAATCTTATAATACATCAAAGCTGGTAAAGACAATACCTTACACAATGGTGTTGAAATACAAACAAGGAAATGGTACTCGATTCAAAAACACAAAAAGAATTTAAATATATCTATGTTTTAGCAATAGAGATATTCTTCCTCTGTCAATATACTTTCAAGAGCAAAGCGAGTGTTCCCATTAAATTTGAGTTCCATGTGCGAATGAAATAAAGATAGGCACAAAATCAAAGTATCGCCTTTACTGATATATATCTGTTTAAAATATCCAAGGATCAGATAAAAGCTCCCTTTTTAACCAAACTCGCATTCATTAACAGTTCATCATGCAATCGATATGGTGTTTTTCAACCTTATTCTATTCAATTATCAAATTATTGCAAAGATAAGTAATTCAAAGCAAGAGAAAATAATTATTGAAATTTATTTATATATGTTCCATTTTATTGTTGAATAGTTTAACATTCTGTTATGAATTGACTGGAAATTTTATCCTTTTATAAATGTAATCTTTAGTGGAATGTTTTTAAATTTTATTTTTTTTTTTTTTTTTCGTTCCTTAATCCAACAATAAAAAGTAAATAACTTCCTACAATTCCAATGTATCAACAGTTATAAAAAGAAATTATATTGCGATTAAACTACATAATTAATTTATGCATTCAGGATTTTTAAATATAATTCACTTCTTGTCATAGAAACATCTTCAAAGAAACTCATCATATATACAAATCTGTGATCAGATCTAGATACGTGATTGTATTGGACAATGACAAACGGGAAGACAACGTTGAAGTCATTATCATATGGTTGTGAGCTACATTCGTACAGTTGTCTTCGTTCTGAATTCTCATTGTCATTAATCGTTTATCCATTATACGTATATTTTATTAATATTGTTGAAACAAGTCTATATTAACAAAATGACTATAACTATTGAAATTAATAATTATTTTGTCTAGTAATATATTAACAGTATTTACTTTGTTAAAATATTGCGTCATACCTGTTCAGAACACTTGATTTATCTTATTTTTCTCTGTGACTCTATAGGTTAATTTATGGAATCATCGATTTAGTAAACATCCCTATTCAGAATTCTGACATTTTATTATGGTCCCTTTTGATATCCTCAGTCGCCTCCTAGGTTTAAAATTTTTTGTTCTAGTATCGCTGACGGGTCCCAGAAGGCTGAAACAGTTGTTAATACAGCTGACATCATTATTTCACTCTACTGTATCTAAAATTCTACAAATGTATTAAAACATGCTGTTTACTTGTGTGTCTTTTGTTCAATCTTTCTTGTATTTCTTTCCTACTGCCATAATTTTGTGGTACTGTTGTATTTTAATATAAATCCCTGGACAAGTCATGTTTGATTGAATGCAATCAGCATGTTAAACTAGGCGGTGTTACGAGTCTGTTAAGCGACGTGATCTCAGTGAGTAATTGTCATGATTCATCATAAAACATCACTGATATACAGTATGTCAATCATCGGTGTAATTAAACGTTACGAAATATAACACATTATTAACAGTGATTTGATAAAGTCACACGGACCACTTATTATAAGATGGAGAATTCAAAACGGTTTGGATGTTGTCATGCCAAGCCACTAAACGGTGAAGTTAAGTAGCCCAGTAACGTTTTATCAGTCTGTATGCAAATGAGGATTTATCGCTATTTGTGACCTATATTGATAAATGAATGTTAGATAACGTGTCATTTCGTAACATTCGGTGGTACTGTATATAACACTGACATATTATAAACTGCAATTTGACTCCAATAGCACATCCCAAGGGATGTTGTAGTAGATTTACAGATGGAAAAACTAGGTAAATACATTTATATTTAAGCTTGATATTACAATAAATGCTCTCATTTAAAATTTCTTTGTAAGCTTTATTATATGAGTGTATCATATTGTTACGTTTATTGGTAAATGCTCACTGCCTTGTCTCGCCCATAAACATCGCATACAAATGTACATTGTATAAATAAACAATAAACAGAAAACCGTAAGTCAACATCTTTCATGATCTATTAACTTGTTACTAATGGTCAAACATCAACAAAACAAATTGTTATTGCAAATAATTAAATTTGTAAAAACAAGGAGAAAAATACAATTTAAAGAAGTAAAAATAAAACACAGCTTTATTTGTTCCCTTTTTTCATAATAAACGAATCAAACAAAAAAACTGTTGTTAAAAGTGTATGATTATTATGGTAAGATGTCAGTAAACATATCTTTCTTACAATACTGATTCGTCTTAAACGTCTGGATATCTATCAGAAAAGTGAATGGCAGAGATTCTAACTATACAGAATTTGGCCGTGACGTATTGGGCAATGTAACAACATGTATGTCATATGATAGAGGACTGTATCATATCAAAATCCACTGAGTAAAATAGGGCGTAGTTGACGCCACTGGCTGGTACACATAATGTTACAACAGCATCGACATTTATTGTGGATTCATCTTATCGTTCTTTGACGTGAGCAAGTTATTCCCTTTAGCAGAAACACAATAAAAATCATCACGGGAAAGACATTAATGACTAATTACTTTCAAAAACGATTTTTAATGAGTGATTAACAAAACGTCATAACGCTTCTTCAAATATATGTTAAAACAGTCACATAATTGGTAGCTATAAATAAGATTTCAGGAGATTTACGAAGACGTTGAAATTATGTTAATTTTCGGTAAGATAGAAAAAGACTAAGAGATAACACTTGGTAAAGAACATTTCAGTAAAAAATCAGCAGTATCTAATATCTAAACTACAATTTATATTCTCCGTGGCTTCAGAATGTTTGTATGCGACTAACAATATCATGTTCTATGTCTCATGGACTCGGGTTTTTTTCCATTCAGTATCATTTTATATCCAACCTTATCGTGTGTGTTTCTCTCCTCTTCTCTTTCAGGATAATCAATTTTTGGTCTTGGTGTGCATAATATATCACGGATCGGACACCAGAAATAACTATTGAAAAAAACGGAAGGAATTTCAAGAAAAGAAGCTTAAGTTGAAGACGGGATTCTGCGGACCACATCATCGTTCCCAGACACGTGTGGTTTTGGTGAAAAGAGTAAAAAATATCTTATACACTGTTTGTATAACATTTAATATTTAATCTTGAGCAACCTATGTAACTATATCAACTGTGAGGTTTATATATAACTTGTATTTGTTAATGGTGTTATCTTACTTGTGATATCGACTTAGTGATTTCGAGGATGTAATAATACAATACATTTGATTCAGTCTGTGATTAAACAAAATCGTGATAATTAAGTTGTGCTGTATGTTGCTGCGTGTCCCTGTTGTGTCGCCCTTCTACATGTAATAATTGGCACAGTTCGTATTTTATAGATACAGCAACAGTTGTCAAGGTCGCCATGCGTATTTATAATTATCTTATTTAATCTGATCACTAAAATTACCTTCGAATTCCTGTAACATAATTTGGAGATTAGAAATATATGCTTTGTATAGATGGTTAAAATTAGTACAAAAGACATTAAAACGATGATTAGTAATTTGTAAAATGTTCTCTAGTGATTTGTAAAACGTATCATAAATTCAAAATTTCTGGTAAGGGTTTACTGATTGATGATCGATTTCATAATTTTAAGTTGCGTCTAGCAATCAATACCAGGTATCAATTAAGTTGCTCAGGTTTTGATACAACATATTTCATATATGTGAAATACGATTCCATATATTGCCGAAGAATCAAATTGTCTTCATTTTTTCATGTCTGAAAATATTAATGTCAAAGGTCATAACACGCGTAATATATGTTGTGACGTTGTGTAGGCTATTTCAAAATCAGTCATTTGGAGGAAATATATGATGTTAACACCACTGTGTGTTGAATTATATTGTATTAAATTGTATTATCAAATTGCGCTCAAATTAAGGTTCAGTTAACAAACCGCTGATTATTGAAATGAGTCCTCAGCGATAACAATGCATTTGCATCATTGCCACTTGATTTTTTCCCAAAACTTTCCTAGCCATATATACGATTTTGATGCTAAGGAAAACACCTACAATATTGGAATGCAAATTTAAAGGTATTTGTTGTTTCCGTTGAAAACTATGCCAGAGAGTGATGAAACAAGTGCATGCTGTGTTGGATTCACTTTCAGATTTGATTAAATCCATTCGGTCTATTATATTCTTCCATGAATTGGCAGCATTAAATCTAATATGAAAATTTGTTTTCCTAGATCCTGGTGTCAAATCCTTCGTTATTTACATTTCTGCTGGCAGAAAAGGTCATTTCCAGCAACTAAAAGGGGCTTGCTCAGTGACGAAGAAATCCTACCTTTACTGTATCCAATCTTTCCAACGAAATACCCAGTGCCCTTAACTATTGCAGCAAAAGAGGTAGGGCTTTCATATTTGGCATGTGTGTTTCAAGTGACAAGAACTTCCGGTGATACCAAAATTTTTTGACAGTGTGTCCTTGACGGTGACCTTCGACCTACATTTGAAAGTAAAAACAATCTTTACCACAATGAAGACATCAGTATTTCACAAAGTGTAGATGCAATTAGCACATACCTTACACAGTACAGTTTTAATGTCCAACTTCAGAATCTTATTGCAACTGTGGGCATAGTGTTTCACAAAAAACATATTGTTTCCTGATGATTCATATTCTTTGGTGACATTTAGACATTTCTGAAGAGACAAGCTTAGATCGTATTATTGTCACAATTAAGGTAAAACAGGCGTCTCTGACAAGGTGTTAAATGCAACCAATGTATCTTATCTTTCTTTCTAACATTACATTGAAATTTCTCTCATGTTGAGTGTCGAAATGTTATCCTAGGTTCCTCACAAATGAAACAACAGCAATTCTTGCCGCAGCCTTTAGTTGGCGATAGTGTCTTCCTCATCTCATCTTAAAATCAACAGCAGTAACCTCTGTCTAGTCTTTGATATATTCTATTGCATAAGTTCTGTGTTACCAATCGACATGCATTTGTGTGTGCTATATCTGTAGATACTTGTCACAGTTCTTAAGATGTCTGGAATGCCAAATCTGTATCGGCGCCTATCGTAAAACAATACTATAATGGGTTTGAAATATTTTCGTCTTTCAACCATAAATTAATGTAAATTTTATGTTCTACATACCATATAATGTAATTTATATGTTAAAGATTATCGATGAATCTTTCATAGACGAAATGACGTAGGTTCTGCTCAATCATTCTTCCTATCGATACAGACTATCTTCTAACTCTATTCACAGAGAGGGTCACCAGTTTATAATACGAAAGAGAAATTACATAATTGTTAAGGACGTAAAATACGACTAGCAAGTCCAGGAGGACAAGTATGGTGATACACGTATATCTGTTGACCGCAACTACTGCTTTTCGATGCTAGATCGATGTACGTTCGCTTTGATATCTAGATTAATGGGTTAGTCAATGAATATGTTATTGTAATGAAAGTGGACCTGGAAAGTAATATCGGATGAAAAAGAAAAGAAAATCCAGACTGTAAACATTATGTTTGAGCAATTAGTCAAGATAATTTAAAGCGAACAAATTGACCAATTCATCTTACGTTATGGAAGTAGTATACCATGTTCGAAACATTCTTATCTTATTAATCCAGCGGTTGCTCTAGAGTACACATGGAGATAAGCAAAAACAAACATACTGACATGTCAATAGAACCTTCATTCAAAACACAAATTTGGTGAAACTTAAGCAAAATAGTAACGAAATAAAGATGTACACGGAGAATTATCCAGGAGTAGAAGAAACAAGATCTGCAAGTTGTGACTTCATGAAGCAACTGACGTGGAGTGACGAAAGAAATTTAATTGTTGATAAAAAGGTATTCAACTATTAATAAGTTTTAGACTTGAAATAAGAGTTGAATAAGAATTGTTTATTTGTTGTGTGACTACTTAGCCTCGGGTTAGTGTACCTCCTAGCCTCCTATGTGAAGTCAACACTGATATCAGACATAATCCTGGATCTCAGAGGCTTTTGGTCTACGTAGTTTTCAAGGAAATGTGGCTTCATTTTGACTTGCAGTTTTTAAATTTTTTTATTGAAAATCTCCCAACCCTGTTCCTAACAGTTAAGAGGATTAGTTTCGCTCTGTGTTAATCTTTTATTTTAATGATTCGGTTTTTGATCAACACACTTTAATCCTTAAATATTAGGTGTTAAGCCGTCTGCATGGTTTCTTTTTTTATACTGATTTACATAACATTCAATTTCCTTGCAGGCAAAACCGGAACAAGATATCTAAACAACTCCTGAATTCATTTTTTCCTAAAATTAAAAACTAATCACTGTTAATGTTAAAACTGTTAGCACAATAATAATTTGCATATATTACAGGTCCTGTTTTTTATTTTCTGATAATTTGTACGTTCTCCCTAATATGTACATTTTCATATAAAGAAAATAATATAAATACAAGATTTCTTTGGGAGTGAGTATGGAGGAGTAATGTAAACACTACATACTTTAACGAAAGCGTTTCTAATTTTGTTAACGTTTTGCCAACTAATTGCCAAAGAAAGCCAAAGTCTAAAGAGCCGAGAGAGAAATGATCTGGTATATTAGCCACGACATTTAACATTTTGCTAACTCTTTAAAACGATGAAGTTGAATGTCAGTTGTTTAGAGTATCGGGTTTTTGTTTACACCAGCCTGAAAAGTGCTCCAGTGTTATATTCAATTTCTGAATATAACAATTACACTGATGGAATAGGAAAAGTCAACTAACGGTAGAGTCAAAGATTGCACAAAAGACACACAAGTGAATAGCACCTTTTAATGACTTAGAGTTAAATACAGTAGAGCCAAACAATGAATTATACTGTATTATACAGCCGTCTCTTCCTTCTAGCACTCATCAGTTTTGAAGCCTAGGAGGCGACCGAATAAAATCAAAAGTGATAGAAGTAATTCAAAATCTAGTCGGGGAGGTACTGAAATAAATTACGAAAAGTGTTGAATATAAGTGTATAAAGATATTACAAACCATGAATATACTACGTCGTTCATTGTTGAGAAAGATCACCATCGTACTTACTGGTTTAGGTTCGCAACAGTTCTTACATTGATGTTATCAGCAATGACAATTTCATAATTATTCAAAAGTCAAACTATGTTTGTTTGTAATGTTTAAAACAAGTCAAACTATGTTTGTTTGTAATGTTTAAAACAAGTATCGTACAAGGGGATTTTACACACGTCCTTTACGAGGTTCCTATCACTAAAACGTGCGATAAGAATTGTACTGTACTGTCACACGACACTGTACCATGCAAAAGGCCCTATATTTCTTTTTTCTCAGGACATGATGTAACATACAGATAAAGTCTACAACACATCTTTATGAAAAACTGCGGTCGGAACAATACTTTGACATAGATATAATGCTAGCGTGATTTCCATGATTTGTATTAATTACGTATATATTTAGAAATCCTAACGCTAGGTCTTGCGATGGACTTAGGCTTGTATGAGCATTATGCTATTTTAGGGAATGAGGAATTAACTGGTTACTGGACCCGCAGACATTTCCGCAGCAATCTTATTGATTGTACTAATTCTGCATTTGAAGCCCTATGCGGAAATGGGGCCATAGTAGACGATATAACGACAGATAAATCTGTAGTACGTCAGGGCTGGTGCCTCACGTGCTGCACGTGCCGCGTCTCTTTATATTCTCAGTGTACTAAAAGGATATGTACGAGGAAATACACGTCACGTAATAGATGTCGTGATAGAACATTTACTGACTTTAAGCGTCAGTATGACAAAGAATATCTGGTATTACTGATGTCCAATACACGTCCCCGTGTACAAGCGGCAGTGTGACAAAGAGTATCTGGTATTAACGTTGTCCTACACACGCCCTGTGTACGAGACTTCCGTTGCTTTTAATCTTGCTAAAACAAGTGACTCTATAACATTCACAGGGTTAATTTCTTTTTCTATTGGTGTAATAGATCTTTGTAATTGTGATTTGTGAAATAAACTTTCGAAATTTAAACTGTCTGTTGTACGAGATGCATGCTCACGGCGTTGACGTTGTGATCAAGGATCTTTAAATCTTACAAAGTACATATAATGTAGTGTCGTTGTCAATTTGATTGCTGTAGGGTGTTTTTACTTCACGGTAAATCGAATAACGAATTTAACATATAGAGTATGCTTAATAGTGGAAGTCCTTCACATCCGACTCCATCTCATGTCGAATCTTCCAACACATGTGTTATCACACTATGGATTATATTCATTGTAAAAACAAAACCTTTTTCTGGTATCTTAGGGATTACCTTTCTATGTTATTGTATTGTGCGCCTGAAAGCCTCAATATAACTTTCACTCAAATAGCTGTGAGAAAATACAATTCATATCGAAATAGTAAAAATTAACTTATGTAAGAAATACTCGATAACTTGCGTTGGTATTGAAAATAAAAGCTGTTGAAAACAAAATGTTCAAATTCTAAATGTTTAAATTTGCCTATTTAAGGTTAAAACGTGTTAAGATTTAACCATAACACAAGGTTACTGGTGATTTACCCCTTATAAATTATCATACATTAAAAAAGTGCACACATATAGCTACGATTTTCTTTATGGAACTCTTTTTTCCTCCATGAAAACTTATGCACTCTAAAACCCCACGACAAAGAAAAAAAATCATGTTGAAGATGAATCTTTAAGTAGCTGGGAAATCAGACTAGGTGAATTTGTCAGAGATGCTGTAACCGCCATCTATTTCTGTTTTAACTAATATCCCATACATATCTAACCTGCATATTTTAGACGATGTTTTTACCTTTAACAAACTAACTGAACATCATCCAGGTGACTACTATATATAACTGTACATGTTAAGTGTAGTTATGAGTCAGCCCGTATGACGTTGAGATGAAATACATTTGCACACATTACCATACCTCTGTTGATAGGTTGTTCAAACCTTAAAGCTGATAAAGAAGTTGATTAGGAAGGGTATTCAACTATTTCGTTTACGTGTCATGTCCTTATGTAAGAGGAAAAACTGCTGAAATATAATTGATAAGAAAAGGTATATTTTACAGGACATATCAATGGAAGGTACATGATTAATATGCCATTTTATACAGCTTAGGATACCAGGGCCTTCCGTTCAAACCTTATCTCATAATTGATATGTAGCTAGGCATATACCAACCCTTATCTCGTTATTGATATATAGTCAGGTATATACCAACCCTTATCTCATTATTGATATATAGTCAGGTATATACCAAACCTTTATCTCATTATTGATATATAGTCAGGTATATACCAAACCTTTATCTCATTATTAATATATGGCCAGGTATATACCAAACCTTATTTCAATATTGATATATAGTCAGGAATATACCAATATATATCCATTAGGAAACATCAACAAAATGCAGTATGTAATGTTATAAAAGGTGAAATAGCGATGAATTGTCTCGTGAAATTCAGGTTGGTTTGGTTTTTTTTTCATATTGTTTAACGATTTCAATAAAGATAATATATGTACAGGTTCTACGTCACAGAATAGTATTTTAAATCACAAGCGAGACTCGATAAATCTCATGTCTCAGGGACAAATGTTACATCATCGAGAGACGGAACCATTTAACGCCATATATTTGGTTGCCACGTTTCAAATCTCAGTAGTGAACATGTATCATTTAAATACTGTTAAAACGTATAATATGATATCATTATTTCAGAGACCGTGGAAATTGTTGTCATATGTAAGAGTCCTAATAAGATGTAGGTAATTGTTAAGTGTATGGACAAAGAAAGATGAAGGGATTTTGGGTTAAGCTTAGTCAAGAAGGGATGATTTGTAGTTAGATAAGTACATATTTGATCAAAATAAGTTACACAAAATAACCAGAAATCACGGTCACTAGAATACTATCAGTGGTAACTGAGGGCAAATGCTAGTTACGGGTAGGATAAAAACAAAAACATTTCTTGTTATTGAATCGTGTTGTTACATATGTGTAGGTATTTGGAAATTTAAAAATGATTGCATTTATGCAAAATTGAGAAATAAATCGACGACTTGTTTCTCGGTACTCTTTAATTTCAATTTGTAAATACCTATTTTGTAAAGAAAAAATGTTTTTAAGGCGATAGCATTGAGAATACTTGAGATTCTGATTAGCGTACATTTGTGTAGTAGAGAGTTATTTGAACAGAAAAGCTTCAACTGATGTGTAAACGACATCTTAATTCGAATTGAATACAGATGTAAAACCGTGACCAAAAGAAACAAGAGAAAATTGGAAACTATAGAAAAGAATGTCACGTGCCCAAAATGAGAATATACAAAGTGACAACTGGATCACTCTCCGTAATAACCAGCATCGATAACATAAATTGAACATGATTATTAGCTATCGTCTTACAGTCTTAATCTATAAGTACGTCTCGAATGCCCTCGTCGTTAATTTGTCCTTCAGCAGCCGACATCAAGATTCTATTAACCAAACAAAAAACTTGAATATGGAGTCACCTGAGACACGATGCTACCTTTAATCTTAACAGGGGGAAGATGTAACTCAGAACTGACAGTTTGCGGTATGAAAGTTGAAACTGCAGGAACCTTACACATGCAATACAACTCAGTAGTGTGCTATCTATGTTGGTCAAACTACAAGAGAAAAAGACCTTTCTCTTTGACTTGGCATATTTCGAAAAATCTTGATTGATTTTTAATGTCCTATGCAATCCTTTTTTCCTGTCTTTCTTTGACTTTCGTATTTTCCATTTCAGCGGGTGTCGAATACCTGTAATATTTCCTCATTCTTGTTTGTCATATACTTTTGTCATGCCCTATTTTTTCTTTACTCAAAACTGAGAACAACACAGCGAAATGTGATCTAATTATACCATATATCATTTACTCTAAGGGACAAATTTGTCTTCAATAACTTCAATACGAGTCATAAAACTTGTAGAATCTTGGACCAATCGTTTTGCAAGTCCTTTAACTCCCTAACCCCCTTGCTGCATTTTTATCGAGTTGCCGTTCTACTGGTTTCTTTTCTTTCTTTTTTTTTTCGCAAAAAATAACCAAACCTTGTTTGGGGATTTTCGTACCATTCCTTCTTCACTAGTTATAGCAAGTTCTAGTATACTTTGTTCAATCCCTCTCCTGTTTTTCGTGTGTTCTCTAACGTGTTGAAATAGGTAATTATCTCTAAGGCATATGTAATATTCACTTTCTTTGCTACAATTTCACGACCATGAGTTTCAGTTTATTTTTTGTAGGTTATAGTCTCCAACAATTAGTAAGTAACTGTGTGGTTTTTGGGTTGCTACTAAAGTAGACTGTAATATGTTCTTCATTTGAATTTAGACTTTTGCATAAAGTTTACTAAGAGTGTATTGTTTTCATACATGATCCACACCTGTGTTTAAAAATAGCCTGTCCTCAATATCCTTTTCCAGAAGCATTCATATCAGCATGAAATGCGTCAAAAATACACAGTTTTCGAGACAACAAGTTGATAAGTATTAAAAAAATAATTTGTTTGCATACATATTTGAAAATCAAACAGTAAAAATTAATTTAACATTAAGAAAATATTAGGTCTAAATTTTAAATTCGGATGAATAGATACTGGCTGTAGCCGCAGGGAAAACTTCAGAATTCCAAGGCACCAAAGTTTCCCTTTGTTACAGCGTATCTTACCTTGAGTGTTGATAATACTGACCACCCAAACATCCAACACAGCAAGTGAGTTGTCGTGACGCGTAACATATCAAACCGATATAAAATCAGTCCTGAATCTTACTCCAGATATCAGCTTACATGTCACGGGTTATAAATCCAATTGTACAGAGTGTATATAGATATCCTTATCCGTTTTAGTGTATATAACTATCTTTTTATATAGAATACGACTTTTTGATGTGGTATATATCCTTACTTTTAATAGATTTTTATGTATGATAATGTACTTGTGTAAAACATATATATCATGTTACAGTGTATTCAGTATATGTTTGTTATGGATATGTCTTATATATATGACCTATTTATGTTTTTGATCTGATTCCACGTATCTCTGTATTTGTCATTTAGGTTAGATACTGAAATTACTTTCCTGCAACATTTGCGATAATTAGTCTTAATGTATTAAACAGGGTTTGCTAAAAATCAGAAAGCAAAGTAGGATAAGATCGTTTGAATAAACGGAGACAGACTATACAAGACTCTCAGTATCTCAGTATCATACAGACATGTCCTTTTATGAAAAAAAGAATGATTACCTGCATCCATGAAAATATGATACATCGGGAGGAATATTACGACCAGGAATTAGCCTGAAAATGAATTTTGAAAAAGAAAACATTACAACATTTTAATGATTGTCTACGCTAGTCATGTTAGAATTAAGGGTAGAGTACCTATTATCACGAAAGCGAAGATACTTCAAATATATAATATTTCTCAGCTCCACAACAAACAAATACTGAAGACATTGCAACATGATCTCTATAAAACGAGATTAATCAGAAAAAATGTCTATGAACTTAAACATCCAACTCTGCGTGATTATAAACAGCATTATCGCCCACGTACAAATATAAAGTGTAGTTAATGGTTTGTTTATATATTGA